CCCAAAAGTGGCCTTTGTGGTCTCTAATTTCTGGGAGAGAACATACTGCTTCTCCATTTCAGATGAAGTACGGTCTCTGAAACCCATGAGGAAAAAGAAACGCAAACGCCCTTTTGGCACATTGCAGAAAGTTTTGTTGGCTATTCCGCTCGTGAAATTAAAACCAATAGTGTTTAACTATATGTACAGAATGTCCCAATCAAGGTGGGGTATCTAAAAAAGTATCGCTTTTTCTATTCGAATTTTCTTACCACCTGCTTCTACCTACTGGCTAATCATAAACCGAATTTCATCTATGTTAGGAGGCGGGACATATGGATCGCTATGTTAATGTCCAATAAACTGCATATGTACTATAAAATAACCTCTTTGATTGTATCACAGCTATTAGTTACTCGTATTTAAAACGTTTGGCGCATTGTGGAGCTGTGTTGGACGTAATTTCACTCGTGACACTTTCCATATTCCACGCAATATTGCGCGAAAAGTACTAAAATTTTCAAACAATTATGTACATGACCTTAATAATAGAATTAACTAGAGAGGAAAAATGTTTACTTGAAGGCAAAATCTGTATCTTCAATTTTGTAGTTGTAGGAAGACGCCAAAAAAATGTAAACTTTTAAAATTCCGAATTAACCCTCATAATCCGACCTATGCTACTTGTACAAGTGTATTTTAATCTATTTTTACTATAAATTTAAAGAAAAATTTTGGAGTCGTATTTGAGAAAATATTGAAAGTGCCCCAGGGGCTTCATGTAAAGTACTCTCAAATTTGAAAGAATGTGTTTCAAGATCTCAAAGCTTCGACTTGCGCCAGATGGACAGTTTTTTTTTTCATTTTGGAAAACATTCTACGTGTATTAGCATACAGAGACGGACGGACAGATAGACAGACGGACGGACGTTTTGAAAACTAACACTTTTTCGGTGTCAGAGGACCCCAAATCGTGTATTTCCGTAGCACAGTCCAAGATACAATACCCATAATCTTATCCAGTAATTCAAATTGAAACTCTGGTTGGAGCTAAATTGCTAGAGGATTTAATTTTGCCAGGATCGGCCAAGTGCCATCTGTTTAACACGACAACAAGCGTCCGCTTACATGCCGTCGATTTTTGGCACCTCAAACATCTCTCCGACATTGAGCGCACTTAACCCGCGAACTTGGGACCAGTAGCCCGGTATGATAATCACTATACCATCAAAGCTGGTTAGTTCTGATTTGAACCCATTTTTTTACTTTCTCGTGTACGTACGTATATACTGAGAAATATACTTAGTAATGAGAAACTTAGAAAGGTCTAATGTTGCGGAAAATAGATTTCGAGATTTCAACGGATATACACATTTTGGGATCTCGGGACACCGGAAAAGTGTTGTTTTCTTTCAAAACATTCATCTGTCCGTCTGTTTTTTTGTTTTTTTTTCAAAAATGGCTCCAAATTGCAAATGTTCAGATAAACTCAACCATTTTCTCGAAAACGGCTCCAAATTCTTTCTTCAATCGTTTTGTGCGGATAATGCTAAACGCACTGAATGACAGTAATTAAAGGCCATTTTGATATATTCTTTTGTGTTTTCAAAAATTCAACATGTATTTTTTTAAACATTTCTCGCGTCGTTAACTTTTGAAAAACCGGCTATTTGCATACCTTTGTGAGTAGAAGTGCTTCAAATAATTGTTTATGAAGTTTATCAAAAAATCGAAAAGTTTGGGCGAAAATGAGCTCTAAAATGCGCGATTTCAGAAATTATTAATCGAAATTTTCTTAATAACTGCTCCGATTTTTCCAATGAAAATCTACTCAAAGAACTGATTTGACCTATCAACAATATTCTGGAAGTCGTGTTTCAAAAATGCGAAAATGTGGGGGAGGGGAAGGTGATTCAGACATCAGCTGATGGCTGCTGAGGAGAGGGTAGGGTACATCTGAATAGATAGCCCCAGTTTATGAGATAATGAAACTAACCGGTACGGGAAAGTACGTGCCATTCTGCATCACCACTAGTTTTATACTGCGTATGAGTATGCAACCCACAATGCATCTAAGCAGGGCAGGAGGTGCTCAGAGGGGCATTAGAGAGCGGAGTGCGGTGGCAGGTCGAAGCAATGTCAGGGTACAGGTTGACGTATTGGGTATGAAAATTCAATTTCTTCCATTTTAAACTAAAAATAATACATTATTTTATCTAGTAGATGATAGCGATAAATAAATAGAAGAACACAACCAGGCATCTCAATCTAGTTATAGCAATTAATGCATTATAAAGCAAACATTGGCTTTTATTCTAGAGATAAGTTTCAATGTCATGTTATGTTTAGTTAATTTCTACAAGTCAACAAACTAGTGGCGCTAAAACAGCACGAACTTTCTTATCCATATTTGCACGCAAAATTACGCGAAAAGTACTAAAATTTTCGAAAAATTGTACATGACCTTATTTTAAAATCTATATTTAGTAAACGGGGGACCTCTATCTTTAATATTTTAGTTCTAGGAAGACGCCGAAAAAATTTTGAACTTTTGCAATTTTTGAAAAACTAGTTTTCAATGACGTCGTTGGCTGGGAGGCCGACGTTTCGCCTAACATGTCGCAGGCTTCCTCCGGGCAGTCACTGCACAGTCAGGGCAACTTCTTCACATTTTATTCATTCGGCTCTTAATAATCGATAGATTTGGAGCAGTTTCAATTCATTCTCCTGACATTGTTTTGCTATCTTCAAGGATCATAGAAAGATTCTATGATCCGTTAATATTCTAATATTCGAATACTGTGAGCAAGGTTTTGCCTGATCTTCGCTACTTATATACAGACCCTGGCTATAATATTGTGACCACTAGCATAATGTAATAGTTTCTTCTTTTGCTTTTCTCTTATTTTTAAGGTAAACTTGTATCTCAGTCGATGTTTTCAATAGCGGGAATTCTTTCGTGAATATGTGGCAAACTATTTTTTCTACGGCAATATTGATCTTTTGGATGACCACATTGGTTTTATGAGTCACAGTTGGCATAATTTTCTTGCGAAATAATTGTTTTATTGCAATAAGTGCGAGTTGTTTATCTATGATTTATTGTTTTATTTTAGATTTTCTTAATTTCATGTTTCTGTTTAGTAAATTTGTTTTTAATAACTTTTCGTGTAACTTAATATTTACCTAAATTTGTTTTTTGTTTTGTGGTGAGAAGGCCAAAGATCCTGTCTGCAAAGAAAAAAAGAAGAGAAATTAAGGTTTTAATAGAATTTGATCTCCCTTCTCAAATTCAAGTTTCTCAAATGGGTTGTTTAATACATCAATAGCAAAAATTACCAGGAAATTACAGAATGGCGAAATGTAGAAAATGTAGAGTGGTCACGTTAATATGGACAGGGACTGTACATAATATGATTAATTAATGTGCCTTACTGCATATGAATATCAATTTCAATGTACATTGATTTAGAGATCGAAAGTGTTTAGTGATAATTATGGCCAATGTAGCAAATGAATATACCCATAAAACATATTTAAAATAATATCTTGAAACCGTTCTTCAATGCTGCAGTCGGAACATAATTGAGTTGTAGATAGTGGCAGCCTATGTACGTTCGAACTATCACTTACATTTTACTTCTTCAAAATATTTCTCGAATAAGAAAAAAATATAGTATCAGGTACAACCAATTTGTACGCATCGAGATTTTATTCCTTGACTAAGAGAACTTTTACATTGATAACGGAAGATACAATTGGGCTTACGCAAAAATAAGAGATTTAAAAGTATCTAGAAAGAAAAAAACAGTAATTTATGAAATTAGGTGAAAGGGCCGGTATTCTTAGCTTAGCGCGAACTTGGCCGAACAAAACACTAATAATTCCCCCACCCAACTCCCAGTACTCCCACACTTCCTCAAGATGCTGTTGCCTTGAATGCACAAGGTATGGACAGTCTCGTGATAGTCCACGATGCGATCCATTCTGAAAACATTTATTTTTCGCGTAAGATGGCACATGGAACTAAATTCATCCTCACAGCTTTCACCGGTGATATACAAAAATAAAACGAGTCGATTTATTGCAAGTTTAATGCTTTCTGCAACTTTGCCCGAGGTTGGCTTTTCTGGGGAGGGCGTCGTCCTAGACCCCTTAAGGAGCAGTTGTCGCAGGCCGAAGGGTCTACTCTCTGGCCACTTTTCAAATTCCGTCTCAGTTAGGACTCACAATTGAAATTTACATCTTTTGAAAACCTGTGACTCAAGGGATTCCAATGATTTCAAAGAATTGAAAATTAAATTAACATTTGTTTAAGGTAAAATGGTGTAATCACAAACATTATATTAATAATTTATTGTTTATTGCAAACAATACTTCATAAAAATACTATATTATTAATTCATAAAACCTGAAAATTATTTACAAAATTAATTGAAATTATTAAAAAAAAAATATTATACCTACTCTTGCTCAAACTAAAGAATCATAAAGACCAAATTATTAAATAACTAATTTTGGAACAATTATTTATTGATAAGTTACAACTTATTTATGATGCCACACTTAACAGTGAGTTAATGTAAATACGTACATGTGTTAAAGCTGAAAAAAGAAATTTTGCAATTTTTTATACACATAAAATTATTGAAATGTTCAGAAAGTTTTTTTGTTAACCCAGAGATTAGTGATTAATTCTCACCTCTCCCTTTTAAAATAAAAGCAAAAACAACAAAATAATCCTTGATTAATTTATAGAAACCAATTAAAAATAGTTTGTAAGTTTTATTATTTTTATTAACATAAAATGATGGTTTTCTTCAATTTATTTTGTTGAAGGTAAGAAATTTGTCTTTAGCGCCACGTTTTGGTCATGTTACTTTTGAATGGTGCGCTCTGGGACTGACATTTGTTTTCCTTCATATATTAATAATGTACGGTTTTTCTTCTTATTTTGGTCCCTATTAGTTTCACAGTAAGTAATTCACCCTTTGTAATGTGATCAAAGCCAGACTTTAATCCGAGTGTTTATCTTCACATTTACTTTTCGCATTTGTACTTTAGTGTTTTAATCACGCATGTTGGCAATAATGCTTAGTTAATGAACATGTCCGTGTTGGGTTGCCAACGGAGTTTCAGTATATTTCAATCGTATTAATATTCTGTTAAAATCGTTGTCAAGCCCTGTAAGTTTGTGTCATCGTGAAATAGGATCGCGCCACTATAAACGTAATATAACTGAACCTTGCAACATGGTAAGTAATGAAGTTGTCAATTATTGACATTGAAGTGGAATTTCTGAAAACCATGTTTCTCGAATGACAACTTCAAAAGAATGTACTTTTTGTTATTATATCGTGAATGACATGTTGTACCATAGCTCGAGAGCAATAATGAATGTTTCCTAAAGGGAATGTGCCAAGTTTGTAGGGTAAAAGAACGTTCAACCTGTGCAGTAATAAAGTTTGTAAATAGGAGTAGCTAAGGTATGTATCTTCAGCCGTGTAGATGATAACAGCGAAATTTAGGTATTTCATGCTTATCTGCAGAAATCTATTATTTTCTTTTGTTGTATATCAAGAGTTGTTTATTTTTTATTTTTTTGCACCCTGAAATTTAGCACATCATATAATTTTTATATGGAAGTTTTATTTTGAATTATTTCTATTAACCTTTAACATTGGATTATTTTGGAGATTTTTGAAACTATATTGGGTTGTTTTGAAATTGTTGTTATAAAAGATATTGTATTTATATAGTTATAAAAGAGTTGTGTTTGGATGCTTCTCAAAAAATTGGTCAGGTTCATTGGTGATGAATTAGTGTGCTTGTGTATGGAATCTCAAAATCTGCTGGTTAGTGGTGTTGGAAAAAGTGTGTCTTACTAAACAGACTAAATAATGCTACACTATTTTTGATTAACATGGAATGCTGTATTTTGTAGTTCAACAGCAAATGCAAAACTTTTCCCTAAAATGAAAAAGGTTGGAAGTGTCAGTTTCTCGAAAGACTTTTGATTGAACATGCAATTCCATGTGTGTTTGTTAACAAGTTCTGCACAGATATTGATATTTTAAAGTATTTATGAAAAGTGACATTGTTAAGATAGTGTCGTCTCAGGGAAATATGGATTGTCATTTTATTTTGTGGCAAATGTATTTAAACTAATAAATTTAAGTAAATAATTATTTAAATTAAATAAATATAGTAAGGATGAATAAGCTTGAATTCAAATCATAACAAATTTTGAAGAGGAGCTATAATACTTCATTTGTGTTTTTTGTGTTAACTACCTCTCCATTATACAGGACAAACCACTTGAAAATAAAATGAATAGAGCATAAAAATAATATCCTTGATTACCGTAAAGATAAAATGATAGAAAGATAGGTTTTGCACATTTTAACACAATTGTCTATGAATTCAGAAACTATCAATTTAAAACTAAAAATAAATTACATTGCACACATTCAAAACTATCACAATGACCACATTTTTCTATGATATTCATTTTTTTGTTGACCTGGGAATATACACATATTTTGTGTTCTATTTTATTAATCTTAGAGCATATTAAGGCTTACCAATTTACCACTCCCTTAAATTTTCTGATCTTTTGAACAAACATTGGAGAGAGTGTTAATGTTTGTTGGGTACCAAATTGTGTCAATTATCTTGAATTTTCTCAACTGACAATTAATGAAATAAAAATTATGAATGTTACTGTAGTCATTTATTGAAATGATAGATTAAAAAAATCCACAAATGAATTATTAAAGTTGAAATTTTGTATTTTTTGACAAGTTTGTTGTAATTTGTTATTATTTAAGAAAAATTACACGTTACTATAAGTTTACTACTACCTTCTTTATTTTTATCTGTGCGTTGGGAAATAAAATTTTGTGTTTTTCTGAATAGATAAGTTGTATGTTTCAATTTGCACTCCATATTAATCTTGAAATGAAGTTTGTTATTGTTTGAGCTAAACATTGTATGAAGCTGTAAAAATAAAAATAAATTAAAGTTAATATTGTATTAGTGAAATGCCAAAATGTTTCTTTAGAATCCTCTAGTAATTATCTGTTGACATTGGTGATGTTTGCTGTTTTAGTCCTTTGATTACAGCCACACATTTTCTGGAGGCTTATCGATTCTTAGAGAGGCTTATAGAATGTAGCCATCCATTTATTTGAGCAAAAACCTCTTCCTTGGAGATGGTTTTGAAATCATAAAGTAATGATTGTTCAATTTTCAACGTATAGTTTTTGTGGATATCTCTTGTGGTTTCGTTCTTATAATTGACCTGATTGCTTGAGGTAAACGTATATCAATGGTAGTAGTTAAATACACATGGTTATGAAATAATGTTCTTTTCTGTTGCACAGCGTTGAACTCCTTTCTACATGTAATTTTGATGTGCTGAATTGAAATGTGTTGCCAATTCTACACATAGTTTTTATGTTATACAGAAAATAAAAATTAGGTTTTTTAGTATTTTTTAATTAGTTACCATGTTTGAATGAACATGGTGACTAATTAAACAACCTAAATGAAAACAACCAAAATGAATAATGAAATATCAAACTAACTACAGGAAACCTATTTTCTATTTCATTTTGTTAGAAATGGTGTTGATGGACTTAAAGGCCAATATTGACGGATGTTTATGGTCCAGGGTATCCCATTAAAACATCAACAGTAGTTACTCATCAAGAAGATATCCCTGGTGCCTAATTTTCTAAATTAGAACATTCAATTAAATAGTGTCTCAAAATCTTTGCAGTCCTGTGATTTTTACAGTGTCACTCAAGTGTCACTTATGCAGAGTTTGTTATTTTAAGGCTTGTAAAATGCAGGGCAGAAGTGATTATTATTATTTTGCAATGTGTATTGTTAATTTTTATGTGGAATGTATTATTGTATTATTCAAATGGTCTCAGTACATCCACGATAAAGGATTTTTACTTGCATCAACAAAACTTCATCCACCCCCACACCCATCTTAGGTTCAAAGATTCAAAGGTTCCCAAAGGTTCAAAGATTGACTTGAAGTGATAACATGAACATGGATTTAATTTTACAAGAGCTACTTTAGTTTACCATAATAGTGATGCATGTGTTTTGTTTTTTTGTGTAGATGATGTTGGAACAGTCTCCAGAACAAACGGATGAAGGAGAAAAGGATGATGACAATGAAGAGGTCAGTTGACAACAATCAGTCTGCTAATATCCCTTACCACTTTACAACTAGTACTATTGCAATCGCCATCAAGCTATTGTTTCGAGCATCATTCAATTGCAATTCAATGCAATACAAGTAAAATCGCAAAACTGCGACTTAGTGCATCGACACTGTGTTTTTGGGTGAATTCGAACCCTGCAAATGCGACAACTGTCCAGGCTGTACTGTCTCAGAATTGGGATAATTTTCACTTGGGCTGTACTAAAAGGCTCTAGTGATTAGCAAAACCATCAGGCTTCTTGTAGATAAAGGGCTATTTTAGCAATGAGTATTGGAGTGAATATTTATTTATTGTTTTCAACATAAAGCTTTTATTATATTTCATGCAAAACTTTCAAAAACAAATGCATTTTTTTTCCTGTCAAAGAATATTGTTAATAAGTTGCCAGATTGTTCTTTTCTTCTGTCAAACATTGCATAGACATTACAGACACAGTTGTATGCCATGAAATTTTAAGATTTTACACTGCCATGATTTGGTTCCAAAATACTGTACAATATGACATCTACTAGGCTACAATGGTTAACTGATAAAATGCAAAAATGCGACATGTTTGCTCCAATAATCTTTAATATATTGTGAGATGTTTCTTTTCTTCCATCAATTGACATTGCATAGACATAGTACAATTTTCTCTGGAGATTTTTGTCTCCAGGAGGAAGAACATTTTTGCATGTGTTTTCTCAATCAAAATACATACAGCATTTTAAAGCTGACTGATGTTTGCCCAAAATTTTTGAATGTAATAACTCTTGTGGATGTGGAAGAATGTAACAACTCGGTGAATTCAATAAGGCTCCCCCTCTCCCAAGGTAACATTTAAGTTAATTTATCCTAAATACTTTCAATATGTTGATCACATCGCATCCAGAGGAGTTTTTCCATTATGAATGTATGTTTTATACATTTTCAACTCGCTCTTGTTTGTAAAAAAAAAAATTCAAAAATATTTGAGAATGTGGACTGAACTGAAAAAATTCCCCTTCCATGAATAATCAGGATAAGGATCCACCCTTGGTTGATATGGCCTTGTAATTAGAGGTGGGAATTTTTTGATATACCGATCAAAGCAACAAAAAGTAAAATTAAAGCGATTTCATGTCTTGTCAAATTGAATTGTACATATTTATCTGCAATGCAGCTTTTAAAGATAAAAGGCCTCTAAAAAAATCTCTAGATGGTGGTTCAAAGGAGATCCTCCCCTCGTGCGGGGTGGCTGCATTAAAAAATGTTTTTGCCTCTGCCTGGAGACTTTAACTTCCTCCTTAATTCAATTTTGATTATTTTTACTACAGATAAAAGCAGTTGTAGTTTTGAACATAATCAATATAGATTTCTCTTTGTACACTTTTTTCCAAACAATAAAGTAAATATTTTATTTGGTAATTATATCCACACGAAGAAACCATGAGAAGAGGGCTTCCCTCCCACAAGAAACTGCCCTCTTATAAACAAAATTACTAACACTAATAAAAATTAAATATTCTATGTTTAGTACCACGAATTTTTGAAAGAATCAAAAGAAAGAAAGAAAAATTAAAATAAATTGCCAATTCTTTTCCGTGAAATACAAAGATATGAACACGAAGAAGCTTTTTATTTCAATTTCTATAATTCTTGACACTACCACAACCACCAGTGTTTGAAAAAAAATTACACAACTTGTATATACTCTTATTTCAGATGAGTCCTGAATCTCCCATCCCATCAACTCTGGTTGCTGTGAAGATGGAGGCGGAGTCAGATGAGGTGGGAAAATCCTTTCGCTCTCTTACTTTAAATTACGTCTTGCATGTTGTATGACATTTGAAGGGATGAATGTTAAGTGTTATTATTTAAAATGTAATGTCCATTTTAAATTTATGACCTACTTGCTATATTTAAAAAAGAAAAGTTCCATGTACCATCATCAATAAAATAATTATATCTAGAAATGTATTTTAAGTCCAACGTACCACAGGGTTTTTTCAAAATTGTAAGTATCATAAGGTTCTAAAATAATATCACATGCATACACACACGCAGACATGTTATTAAGAAAAATTAGAGGTAATTGAAAATTTGGGAATATTGGTTGGAGCTCTACTTTTTAGAGAACATTTTGAAATTAAATTTCAGCAACAATTTTGCTATCGTATCTTGCTTTTAGAAGACATTGAATGTTGTTAATTAATCTGACCTCATCAAATTATTTAAAGTAATTCCTTAAAGTGAGCAACAATTAAAAAATATATATTTTTGCAACAAAAGTGACTCATTTTTATCTAATTTAATGATAGGACTATTACATGTTTTTTTTATTTTTATCATGCCTAAAATAAACTTTTTTGAATTGAATTGAATTTGCCTTATTTTACGTGGCGAGACTCGGGCCATCAGGCCCACTCTTCCGTCTGACCACGCAAATTTCGCTACGCTCCTTTCACCAACTAGGAGAGAAAGGAGGTATTTCTTGGGCGAGAAACAGGCGATTTGAATTTAGCTCAGAGGCGTCATTTAGGCTTGAGGATCTTTTACATGCAAGTAAATCTACAAACATGGGACAGCCGGCTTTACTTCCCCTCCGAAGGAAGGCGTACGAAGGATTTTTTCGCCCTTAAAAACCCACGGCTTTGATCGGGTTTGAACCCGCCAACTTGGTTTCAACATCCCAGTACGCTAACCGTTACACCATCGCTGCCGCACTTAATTGGCAATATCTCTAATACAAACTCAATTGACAAGCAATATCTTAAGAGATGCATTTACATATTTTTAGTACTGTATAGATACAGTAGTATATGGCATTAAAGCAACAGGACTGTCTTGACTCAAGTAATGCAATACACACAAATCAGAATCATGGTTAAGAGGAAGAGTGTTAATTCAACAATTAAAATTTAATTTAAATAAACAATTGATTTTGAAATGGAATGAATTTTGAACAGAAAAAGTGCCACATTTGTGCTCTAAACTTTTAATTATTTTATTACATCTATATACTTCAAAATACTCTGAAAATCTTGAAACGCTTTCTGATTCAGGAGCCAGAGCCTTCACTTTATAATGCAGATTTAGAAAATGATGAACCAATTGCTACAGAGGATGTAACAGAAGCAGCTCGTGTTCATCCATCTTTATTGCAAGCTGAAAAAGAAAGGCCAAAGGCAGGTGAGTGTCAATTTATTTGTAAGACTTTTATTTTTTCTCAATACTATCAAAATACAGTTACAGACGTTTCAAAAATGTATTTCATTTATATGTATGTATCTGGAGTAGCATGCATGTGAAGCCCAGTTTTTATATTATTATTCGTATGATTTTTCAAGCATTGAAATTGTAATTAAGTAAAAATTTTTAAGAAAGTGATTTCCCCCTCTTTCTATGGGGTTATAAAACCATTAACTTTGTTAGTTTTTTTTTTTTTGTTGTTGTTGTTTTTTGACAATTTTATTTTAGTGTAAGATGTTTTGGTTTAATTCCATTAAATGAAATGAAAATAATAGTTTTACATTATTTTTCCTGTCAAGATAATCTTCTTTCACACTTTTCATACTTTGTTTTGGTACATTTTACACATTGTAATCCAATAAATAATATTTTGTGTACTTTGTAGTACTGTGAAAATGTCAAAGGAGCGAAAAGCAGTTTTTTAGCATGCCTTCATGATTATTTCTTCCTTTTCCCTTGGTAAATAAGAATTTATCCACACCCATTAATTTATGTGCATACCTAGAAGAAAACATGGATTTTTCCCCCCCAGAGAAACCTACAATGTTGTGTCCACTGTGCGAAGTGAGCTTTGCTGGTGGAGCAGCGTTGGCTTCGCACCTGCGTGCGTGTCGTGTGCGCCATGGTGAAGAGCCTCCTCCGCCCACCGGGAAAGAGCACCGCTGCGACATTTGCAGCCTTGCTCTGTCCAGCGCGTCCTATGTGAAGCGGCACAAGCTGGCGGTGCATCTGGGTGTGAAGCCCTATCATTGCGATGTTTGTAGTGCTGCCTTCACTCAGCAGGTAAGGTGGTCTGAATTTGAATGTAGGGCAGGGTGGGCCACTATCTGGAAAACACAGAAAGCAACTATATAAGACAAGACGCAACTATAAATCTTAAATTTCATGATAGTGTAATAGAGGATTTATATACCATGCTTTGATTTGCATATCACTAATTTTACAATATCTTTGGCTAGAATGTCTTGTACAGGGGAAGCTTTTTGAATAGAACGTGTAATATGAAGACCTTGTGAAACAATTAATGTACATGTTACACACAGTTTATAAGATGGTTCTTCAAATAGCTCATTGTCTTCCAAAATCTCTTCAGTAACATAGAAGATGTGTGTTACTGAAGAGAGCTATCCTAGGCAATCCTCATGTGCTTTTTTCACAAATGTGTCTACATTATACTTTAGAGATACCTCTTGGTGTATCTAAATTCATTTGAAATACCTTATGAGGATGCTAATAAATCTTACAACAAAGTACCGTATATACTCAAATAAAACCTGCATATTTTTTTCAAAAATTGCTAGCTGAAAATTAGGGTGCGGGTAATATTTGAGTTAATGTTGGTACAACGGACATGAAGCATGTTGCACATGGTCACGTGGCAGCAGAGGTTATTCTTCGGATTTTGTAACATCAAGGCCTGTCTTCACGATGGAATATTTCGTGGCATTTCGAGTTTTTTTTCAGTAGTGCAATGTCGCATGATTGCGATTGTATCAAGTGGTTCTTGATACGGTCGCAACATCAAGCGGCACCACTGAGAAAGACAGGAAACGCCTGACAGATTGCCACTTACAGGTGAAGACGAGTCTTGAGGTTAGCTTTATAAAAATCACACTCTAACCAGTGTTAATCAGCAGGCCTTTTAAGGAACTTTTAAGGGCCTTTTAAGGAAAATTAAGTTGCGGGTTATATGTGAGTATATACAGTATATGTTCTTTAGTCTCAAGTTGCGGCTAGATTATCATCATTTACGGCACCTCACCTCATGTAAGGCTCTTATTGTTTAATGTTTTCATAAACAACCTGCCATCCTTTATTTTTTTGCCTTTGTGAGGCTACTACGTACGTCATTGATTTGCAGTAATATTCTTTTCTTCAAAGTTATGTTATTGTACCAAAAAATTGAGGGGGTATTTTGCATGGATGATGTAAATAAATATTTAAAAAAATAATAAATCTTAATGGTTTTTGAATTTGCAGGCAAACCTGAACACACACAAGCGTCGCCATGCAGGTGAGCGGCCTTACCAGTGTGACCTGTGTGATGCAGCATTTGCGGAGAGTAAGGACCTAAAGACTCACAAGCGGTTCCATACAGGGGAGCAGCCATACGTGTGCAATGTGTGTGACTGTGCGTGCTATACTTCTTCTGATCTGAAAATCCACAAGCTCACGCATACAGGTGAGAAGTGTCTCTTCGTCTGTAAGGCTCCTTTAATTTTGTTTACCAAGTACAATGTTTAAAATGAATTTGTACAACAATACTTTTAACATAGAGGAAATTTTCCTCTGTTTTTGCACTCATTTTTTTAGTAGTATATTGTATTGTAGTATACAGTCTTTTAAAACCTACATGTTTTATAATACAAGTAAAATAAAATAGAAAAAGTCCCAATATTTAAACGACTATAAGACAAGGTTTTTTCCTGAACTCTCATTTGAAAAATATGAGGTTGTCTTATATTCACAGATTATACCCAGTCTGTTGGGGGTATATGTTTTTACATTGCCTTTCCCTGCCATGAAACTTGCAAATATTGATGTAAAAGATGTAAAGAGAAATGATATCATGGAAACGTATCACACAATGCAACATTTGTCATTGTCTCTGATATGTATTACTTACTACAACCTTTGTGATGGATATATGTATATAAATGTATTAATAAATTACAAATAAATAAACAAATCACGTTTTGATTATACCTAATTACATTCATGGACATATCCTCGGCTTCCAGTGCGAATTTGCCTGGCTATTCAGATCAGTATTTCGAGTAGGCTGGTAAAGAGAAAATCTCCAACAAATGATATTGTATCGAGTAAAATGCAGTGTGAAAAAAAATAAAAATTGTCGAAGTGGAGTTTGCTTCAAGATGCCACATGAACTCTGTGTTTAATTCCTGTCAAGTACAAATCTGTATTTAACAAGAGATAGGAATAAAAAAAATCACATTGATAAAAGTATGCTTTCTACAACCAACTAGGAGTATGTGCTAACATGAATGTAGATGGTGTAAAATGAAGCAGAAGCAGATGTCATTTATTTTAATATGCTAATGCTGCAATTATAAGTTATGATAATTGTCTGTAAGTAATGAAAATAACCTGAACTGAGAATTTAAATATTGGACATATTGTGTAAATGAAAACAATGTTGATTTCTTGCCTATAAAGGAAGGACTTTCCCTTTACTGAGTGTCTTTACATAAGTAAATTGAGTGACATACAAGAGAATATGATCATAAGACTGAAGTTCTATGGACAGTAAAATGTTTGAATAAATACATTTCTTTTAGATTCATGAAAATTATCGAGGTCTACAGGTAAGAGGAACTGGGATTTTTTTCCACACAGTGTTAAAAATGATATTATATAATTGATCATAAGTTTTATCAAATGTATACATAACTTAACGTTTAACAGAGACGTTAATGAAATGTTAACAAATTATTATAGATTGGATTGAATGAAAAAGTCATTTTTTAATGTCTGAACTGAAAGCTGTGTTGCAATTCAAAGGTTGTAATCCACTGCCCATGTGCCAACCTGTATTATTGTTTCAGGGGAACGCCCTTATCCCTGCGGTCTGTGCGATGCATCATTTGCACGAGCTCATAGTCGCAAAGTGCATCAGCGAATGCATCACACTGGTGAGCGTCCCTTCTGCTGTGATAAATGTGATGCAGCCTTTGCCTCAAATGAAGCACTAAAAAGCCACTATCGGTCAGTATTCTGTCATCCTTGATCAGTTTGTTTATTCACACTCTCTCTTCCCCACTGACCCTTTTCTCTGTTATTGACGACTTTGTTGTTCCAAAAGTGCTAGAATTGATTCAACCAGTAGATTTATATAATCCTCTATTATATTTAGAACTTTTAACTGCTAATTCTAATGTAAATGATCACCAGACGACGGGTTCTATGACTTATCTTCTAGTGATTATATCTTGATTTAGACCTTTTTGTATTGAAGATTTGTAGAACAACCAGTTATCCTTCTTAGTATTAAGCTGGATTGAAAACTACATTGATTAGAAAAAAATGGTCATAATTATTATAAGAAATTTAACTCAGTTGTGTACTATCATAAATTCGTTTGCCTGAAGCGTAAATGTAAAAATCTTGTCAGGCATGTCTTTGAAAAGTATAATGTAAACCTACAGGAATTTGTAGTGTTAAGTCCAAAACACTTTTGGAAATATATTCATTCAAAAAAGGAAGACAAAGGGTTACTGGATACAATGCGATTTGGATTGGAAATTGTGTGTGATGATCAATTGATTGTAAATGCATTTGCAATGTATTTTTCAACTTTGATTGCTATGAAGAGAATAAAAGTTAATATACAGACAAAAGTTCTAGTCCTGATGGCATTCCTCCATTCTTGTTGAAAAACTGCAAATTTATCATGTCACGGACACTGAAGTTCCCACTTTAAAAATCACTTGAAAAGGGATTTCTACCAATGCAATGGATATTTTAATTTATAATTCCTTACACGCCTCACACAGCACGAGCTAGAACCCTAACTCATTTCCAATACCCTACCACCATCTCTCGCTAAGATCGTCAGCCCAGTTTCCACCTAATACTCATAATTGAGCAGACTCATCCCTCTACATACACTTCATGAAAGATCTAGAACACTGATTAGCGTCATCTCACAATCAGGATAGAGAATTTGGTTTATAAAGACAGATTATGAAAGAGCACACCATACTATAACAAAATTACTTACTCTCTCTCACTCATTATTCAAGTTGAGAACACCTAGTAGATCACGATATGATGATTTCCGCATACATAAGGTAGGCATGATTCTCCTCCTCACGTCTTCCTATATTAGAAAGCTGCACCCAACAATTAAAATTTCAGTCTCGCAATTTGTGGTTTTTGCAAAGAATTATTTAACAGAGGAACCTCTAGTATCCTCACAGCATATTGCAAATAATGTTCATTTGTTTTCAGGAAGCATACAGGGGAACAACCATACCAGTGCAAAGAATGTGGTGCGGCGTTCAAAGGTAACTCAGGTTTACGGGCTCACAGGCGACTCCACACTGGTGAGCGTCCATTTGCCTGCGAAGAGTGTGACTCTAGCTTCACAACCCGCTGGAGCTTGAAAGTGCATCAGGCAAGGCACAGCGATGCTCGCCCTTTCAGCTGTGAGCAGTGCAATGCTACTTTCAAGACACCTACGGGATTAAGTACTCATAGGAGACGGCACAAGCGTAAGAGTATGAAGAACTGAGAGTTTTCTCAGTTTATCAGACAATCTCAAGTTGGTGAGCTGATGGTAAAAAGTACCATGATGCCCAACATAATACTCCAAATGTAATTATATAAATAAAAATATTATTTTCTGTTATGTATTTAAATTACAATATGTGAAGATATTATTAAATTGTTTTTAGTATTGTGATATGTTTAACTAATGTTTGTGGTTTGCCAAGTTATTCCATTCTGTGATGACAAAATACTAGGCTTCTCAGAGTCTAGGATTTGAAAAAGATATATTAATATAAGAAAAAGTGTGATATCAGTATATTTGTAATTTTAAAGATGTATTTCTGTGGCTTTAGGAGTTGTCTAGTTGTGCAGGAAGTAAAATAATACTTCTGGGCATAACTTCACCTTCTCAATGTTCTGTGATTTGGTAGCTTTAACTTCTTGTTTTCTATACTCTTGTTATGTGTGTGTGTGCGCGCGTGTGTGTGCACGCATGCGAGGGTGTGTATGCACTAAACTGATGAACGATGAAAACATAAATTAGTATCTAATATATGTTTTTTTGCTGTGAATTTGTAGAATTTACCATGCTATATGGTAAGGATCCTTTGTCCTTTCTGCATTTCTTGGTCATTGTGTTAAGTATCTGGTAACATTAAAATTTTTTATGTAGTTTCAGTGATTTATTATTGTTAAGTTAACCTTCCATGAAATGTGCTGGAAAAATGCAGTAAAAGTTCACTTATACGTTTTCCAGGGGACTGAAGGGAAAAAATGTATAAGTGAAATTGATTATTCTACCATTTCATTGCCACTCTCCCTAACAACTTTTAAAACTTTTATTTTATCTGATATTGTTTGTTGCCGTTTCCTACCTCACTTTTTTGTTTAATATCATAAATGCAATACCAGATAGAAGACAAACTATACTTCGATTTATGCACAGAGCCTCAAATTGCAATGCTGGTCAGCTTGGAAAAGAAATCGTCTGTCGTAGGTGGTCGTCGAAGAAGTCTCCCCTGTGGTCGAGGTAGCAGATATGCAATGATACCTTACAGATGACATTGGGTGACTCAGTTTCACTGTGGAAAAGACGGCAGTGTCCTACAGGGGTTACAAGTTACTCAAAGCATGGTGTTCTAAGTGGGTCACAGGAAGCGCACGACTGCTACAGCCCTACAACTTGGCAACACCACTGCACTGTGTGGAAAAGTGATGATTCACTGCTTGCGCCATGGTGCTACCGAAAGGATTTTGTGTGATAATTACAGCGAGCAAAAGGGCCTTCGGAGAGTGGGGCAGTTAGTGCACAGACTTCACTTATTGGTCATCTTCGTCATTACTCTCTTCTGAGGACGCCTTTGACCTTCCCGTGGAGCTAGCCGTCGCCTCCTGAGATTTTCAAAGAGCTCCTCTACACACCTGACTCTGAAATGTTTTGAAGGTTCCCTGCCGGAGATGACGCCAGAGCCGACGCACTACCATCCAGCGTGCTCGCGCAACCCGAGTAACATACAAGTTTTAGGCTGTGAACACCGGCCTGAGGCACTCTTGCCCCACGCCTCACAGGGATCGTTTCAACGTAATACAGTCTTAAAGGGACTTTTATCATGAACTTAAAAGTGTGAAAAACATTTAATTGTGAAACTGAAATTATTTAGCATGGGAATTATAGGAATTTATCTGGGACCTACCAAACAAAATGTATTAACATGAAAAATATATAAGTGAGAAACATAAACAAAGTTTCACTGTAATAGTAAATAATTGAGTGGAGGGGGTTTAGTGATTCCAAACAAGATTACAAAATCACAATACTTTTCTGGGGGGGGGGTTGAAAATGTATTTACTAGGCTGTCCAGGTGACGCTGCGTCCATGGCAAAGGTGCCGACGTTTTGGTCGCCATTCTGCAACCTTCCTCAGGGCATAATGCGTTTTTTCCCCCTGTACTCTGCTTTCCATCCATCCGCATTTTCATATTTTTGGTCTTTCTTTGATTGAAGGATTGAAAGTAAGGAATTGTTATATGAATGTATTGTGAAATTGTTTATTACTTCAACTCCATTTAATGAGGTTTTATATTCTTGGATATTAATGGGATCTCAAGACACAATAAGAATAAATAATTAAGACTGTGCAAAGAATATCACATATTTTGAGCAATTTCAATGTTAATAAGCATATAATAATAGCTTAGAGATAGAAACATCCAGTAAGATAAAAATAATTAATCACCAAAATAAAAATTATTCCAAAAAATAGTAAATAAGGGTAATCACTCCTACACTACCACTCTTCATAAACCTGTTGCAATTTTCCCTCTGAACTCTGCTTTCCATCCTATCCATCCAGTCTATCGACTTTGACTTCTTTGAGTATCAATGTTCTGTATTCGAAGCAACTATTAGATGACGGAGCTGCAGATCTTCTCGCTTAAGTACCGTCTGCTAAAGGGTTAGATTCCAAATACATTGCTGTCCTTGCCAGTAGCTCTGTAAGGTTTGAGTGAGAAATGGGTGAGAATAGATGCTAGAGAGACTGATTCATTTGGAGATTCAGGTAATAACAATTCATAATTCTTTAGAAAACTTTGCTTCAGTACGAATATTTCTGTATTTATAATTTTGGTGTACTATAAAATGAATTTCACGTTAGTATTAAGTTGTGTATTGAGATTCTTTTTTGTCCTTTTACAAGTAATATAACGAGTTTCTCTTTTTGCAATCTTTTGTGACAGAATGCTCTGAAATAAAGAAATGTTGGGCATGATACTAGTGTAGAATGTCAAAGGAATAGCTCAAGAGTTGTTGTAACATGTCCCAATTTATAGTGTCCTCTCATCTCGCCAGACTTTTCTTAATGTGTACTCCAGGCTTTTGATGTCAGGCACTTTTAAATACAACAGAAAGAGAACAGCCACGAATGAAGAAAGTGAAATCACGCATCACTTCATCCACATGTAGGTTCACATATTGCCAAAGATGTAGCCAGTGCGGTGGTATTTGCATTCTACGAGTACACCACCTCAAATTCCACCCTTATCACGTTTGCCTTCATGAAGATCTGGGAGGTCAGGATTTTGAAAGGCACGTAGCATTTTGTAGATTTGCTCTGGGTCAGATTAGGAATGACAGCACATTTTGGGATTTACAGATGAAACAACATTCACTAGCCATGGTAGGGTGAATTTAAGAAACATGCACTATAGAGCAGTGGAGAATCCACACAGGCTCCGATGTGTAGAGCACCAGCGCCAGTGGAGTGGGATTGTAGGTAGTTGTTGGCGGTTGTTGGTGAAACTATTTTGTAATGGCAGCAGCAATTTTTTGCTGTTTCTCTCATATCATACAAAAACTGTACACTTAATATTAATCTTCAAATTCATCATATAATACCTCATGTAATATAAATTAAGCAACGAACATAAAAAACCGTTGACTATCGTATCAAAAGTTAATAGACATCGTGTATCCCACGTTTTGCTGATATATTTTTTTGTTTTTTCGAACGAGATAACTGAATACATCACGGATTATAACTATGCGTGCCACTATAAAATTCGAGATTTGTTGGCAAAGAATGTAGTATAGTATAAATAATTATTTGTTCAGTGTTTGTGGGGAACATACAGTCCGCTTAAGGAATAGGTGTTCGTCAGTGTATGCAGCGAAAACTGATTATAGTGGTCGGCAACCGCAAGAGACTGAAAACTATTTTAAGCAAAACAAAATATCCGCAGGATCATAAACAGGTAGCGCCTGCAGTCAAAATACATTTCTACGTATTCAATAAATAAATTTAATTTGCATACAATTCTGTTTCTGCATTTACTTTGTGGGGTGAGTTTTTATGTTTTGAACATTAATTATACTTTATACTTTACTACTGAATTATAATTATACTTTTACTATCATAAGTCAAGGTGGACGCATTATTGACAAATAACACACTAAAAATATCAAAAAAATATAAAATTAGGAAGATTTCTAAAATACTTGTACTTTGGCACTCCTGAAATTTGCCGAGTCCCACTGAATCTCTTCAAACTATTTAGTACCAAAGAAGTTAAACATTTGGGTAAATGCAACAACCTTACTTTCAAACGGACATGGTTTAAGGAATTTCCATTATTGTTTTCCATCATTTTCATATTTGACTCCCTGATTATCAACATAATATTTTCAAAATCCACGTTATTCATTGCGAGAGCTTGCGGCTGTATGAAGAAAAGTCTCAAGAGAAATAGCAAGCCTCCCATTATTTGTAAATGTTAATATCTTTATGCCCAATTGGTTTAGGTTTATGAATTTCCATTGCCTTTTCAGGTGAAGAAATTATAAGACGCTGTAACCAAAAGCTGTAAAAATTAAATGCATGTCACAGTGTAATAACTGTATAACAATGTATAATCACTAAATACACTCTCGGGTTTTATTTTGGGAACAGTGTAAAGTTATCCCGTAATTCAAATCAGTCATGTCAATCTCAAACAAAAAGCATTGTAGTAACTGATATACAACGTAAAAACGATTGAAAATCGTTGCTGAGATTTTTACACTGATCCGCATACATCATTTTTACACTGA